CTTCAAACCCCGATCCACGCTTGGCGGCGGGACGGCATTGCATACTCGGCTGCGGCAGGTCCCGGGACGGCGCCTGACACCGCTAAACGAAGCGCTCGCGTGTGTGGCGCCCCCTCCACAAGAGCGTACTTCAAAGTGTGTTTTGTAGTGCAACTGTCAACATGGGGGGGAGCGGAGCGAGGGTGGAGCAGCCTTTGAGCAGCGGAAGGTCTTTACCCATCGTCTCCACGGATGTTCTCTTTGTGCTCTGCACTTGCTCCAAATTGCTATCTCACCATAGTCACTTTAACCCCCCTCATTCCAACTACTAAAGTTCTTTTCTTTGTATTGTTCCCTTTTTTACTTTCTCCGTGTGCTTCTTTGACTCTAACTAGTGTGGCGTGTTATCTTGGGTGGGACAGCTCTCTGTCATTAAAGCTGCAGTGCTTGTTGCACCATACAGGATGGCATAACTGTCAGCAGTTAAGTGTAATAGAGCCTCTGACGTGCCACACGCTCTTTATAGCGCTATTTTTGATTGAGCCTTTATTGTTGTTTGCCTTCGTTTCTTTTCTTCCATTAGATTCACTAGTGTCGATCTTCATCGCCTCACCTTGACACACAAACTTTTGTTTACACGCAGTTCAAGGGAGGCTTCTGAAGTCAGACGCGACCCTGATGTGTTTAAAGTGAATACGTAAATAATGACCCCGTTAGGCTGCAATTTAAAGCGTGCTTTGAAGAAGACGAATGCCAGGCCGCTCTGAAATCCTCCAGAAATGCTCTAGCTGCAGCTACTGTGGACCCTATTGTCAACCCTGAATTAGCGTTTTTTTAAGGCTGACTTTAATTGACTTGATTACAATTTTTAATTGAATTAATTCAGCTATGTGCTGATTAATGAATCTGATTAATTGCATCTATCAATTATGAACTTTGATGAATGATGGAAGCTGAATAGCCTTGAACTCAATGCAAGTAAAACCAAAGAGATTGTAATAGATTTCCGAAAGAAAACACAGCATTTACTTCCTGTAAATATTGAAGGAGTGGATATTGAAATTGTGAAATCTACTGAAATAAAAAGTTGGACTGGTGTGATCACAGGAATTACTTGTATAAAGAGGGTCAAGTCGTATTCACTTGTTGAGACGTTTGAGATCTTTCGGGGTGTGTTGAGTATTGTTAAGGACTTTCTTTCTATGACACTGTAGTGGCATCTGTATTTTTTATGCTGTGGTATGCTTGGGTGGGGGGATTTATGTAGGGACAAAAACAGACTCGACTTAAACTGATTAGGAAGACGAGCTCAGTTATGGGCTGTTTGCCCTCTGTTGATGAAATTGGGCAAGAAAGGATGGTAGGGAAACTGTCCTCCATCATGAAGTATAAATCTTACCCCTTCCATGATACAGAGTGTGCTATGTGTAGTTCATTTAGCAACAGACTTATCTACCCACGTTGCTCAAAAGAGAGATACAGAAGGTATTTTCTTCCAACTGCCGTGAGATTGTTTAATCAAATGTGATCAAGACTTGTTATTTTGTGTCTGATATTGTTACCATCAAGGGGACGTTTTAGACAACCTCGGGCAAGTAAAAATGTGTACCAGATGTCATTTGTGCCAACTACCATTAGAATTTTAAATGTTGAGAAGATATGAATATGATTAGGGGTGGATATGTATGCATAGATTGTATATGTACATATGGGAATGTTATTGTTTTATATTTTGTATGTATATTGTTATGTTGTGTTGGTGTCATTGTGTGTGGTGTATAGTGAAGCCAAAGACAAATTTCCACTTGTGGAAAATAAAGGAACTAAACTAAACTATTTGTTGTGGTGTGGGTGCATTTGGGGTATTTTTTTTTACTTGAATTAATGTATTGTATTTTATTTATAGTATGTTGCTGCTGCGACAAGTGAATTTCCCCTTTGGGGATGGATCAATCAATCAATCAATCAGATAATTTTGATTGTTTTAAGAAAAAACTCACTTCATTTTGATTTGTATTTCTTACTGTAATTTATTGTTAAATTATTTGGTCAATTAATTTGATGCTTTCCATTTTCCATGCTTACAGTACATTTTAACTTTGTGTCCTGATGAAAATGGGTTAAGAGAAAAGTAATTTGTGGATCACATTCAGCTACTGATGCTGAGTTTGTATGTGGCACAGGTAAACCCAGTCTCACAGCTTAAAGATGGATGGCTGTGAGATGGACACACTCCACAGTGTAGGTGGTGACTGATGTTTCTGTTGAGTTGGCAGTACATGAACCACATTTCTTATGGAATGACGTCAGTCAGTTTGAGGGCCAGATCTGAGGGAAAACCAGTGATCTGTCTGTTTTGCTCAGAGGCACTTGACTGTCTTGCTATGGTGACAACCCTGTGAATGTTGAGCTGGTATATCTTCCCTACCTGCTCTGTTATAAAACCTAGTGAGCTTCCTCACCTAGATAGGCAGCTATGCACAGTTGTAATCAAAATTATTCAACCCCCATTGGAAATCAGGTTTATTGGCAAAATGTACAGACTTTTAGCTGTTTGCAATTAACAAATCAAACAAAAGTAATTGAAATAGATCAACACAACAAATGTTTCAAGTGGTTTCCCCAAATTCAACTGAAAATGCAACTTTTAATGACTTCTGCAGTCTCAGAATTATTCAACCCCTTCATGCCAAGCATCTTTAGTACTTAGTAGAACACCCTTTTACTGTTATGACCTTCTGCAAACTAGATGTATAACCAGACACCAGCTTCTGGCAGCATTTCTGAGAAATCTTAGCCCATTCCTCATGAGCAATGGCCTCCAGTTCAGTAATATTCTTGGGGTTTGCGTGCTGCAACCGCCGCCTTCAAATCCCACCAGAGATTTTCTATGGGGTTCAAGTCAGGTGACTGGGATGGCCACTGTAGAATCTTCCAGGACTTCTGCAACCAAGCCTTGGTGGAATATGAGGTATGGTTGGGATCATTGTCCTGTTGAAAGGTCCAATGACGCCCAAGCTTCAGCTTCCTCACTGACGGCATGACATTTACTTATACTTCAATGAATCCATCTTGCCTTCCACACATTGCAGGTTTCCAGTGCTAAAGGATGCAAAGCAGCCCCAGAGCATCACTGAGCACCACCATGCTTACCTTTAGACAGTGTTCTTTTCAGCATATGCTTCATACTTCTCCAGACATACCGCTGATCCATAGGGCTGAAAAGTTTTGTTTCATCGTTCCACAGAACAGAATCCTTATTTATATGCTTTTGAGCAAATTGGAGCCAACTTTTCTCGTGCTTTTGGGTCAGTAGTGGTGTAGTTTCGGAGTTCTGGCATGCGTTTAGTACGCGCCTTTCTGTGCAGCTGAAACCTCAGTGCCTGTTGCCATCAAGTCTTGCTGCAGGTCTTTTACAGTCACTCGAGGGTTTTTCTGAACCCGCCTTCTCAGAAATCAGGTTGCAGCCGTTGATAACTTCCTTTTTCTGCCCCGTCCAAGTTGTGTAACCACTGTTCCTTTAACTTTGAACTTGCAAACTTCCAACAGTGTCTCTAGGAAAATGTAGTGCCTTCGCTATCTTTTTGTATACTGTTCTTTGTTTGTTAGTGGCGATGATATCTTCTCTTAACTTTTTGGACAATTCTTTTGACTTAGCTATATTTCTAACATGCAGTCAAACGTGACACTCATCAAACCTTGCCAGTTCAGATATTTCATGTGTTCTAGCTCAAGCACACCTGGTGCAACTAATGATGCCCTTAGTTACATTAGGTGTGCTTGAGACAACAGCTGTTTTGCAGATTTGTGCTGTTGTGAGGGATTCTATTCAGGGGGTTAAATAATTTTGAGACTGCGTAAGTCATTAAAAGTTGCATTTTCAGTTGAATTTGGGGAAACCACTTGAAACATTTGTTGTTGAGCTATTTTAATTAGGCCTACTTTTGTTTGATTTGTTCATTGCAAACAGCTGAAAGTCTGTAAATTTTGCCAATAAACCTGATTTGTAATGGGGGTTGGAAAATTTTGATTACTGGTTGCAACTCTTTGTTAAACTTTGTTAAACAAAATTTTAAACTTTAATACTGAATGAAATACACTACTGTACACACCAATATATCCATAATTATAATTTAATGACAGCAAATACACAAAATATATTTTTTTCTCTCTTTTAGACCTACAATTCACAATATAGTTAAAAAGTTTAGGGTTGGTAACATATGTTAATATTTTTGAAAAAAGTTCCTTATGCTCACCAAGGCTGCATTTATTTGAAAAAAATTCAGTAAAACTGTAAAATTGCACAATATTATTGCAATTTTAAATAACTTGATTAAGCTGAATTTGCAGAATCATTACTCCAGTCTTCAGTGTCACATGATCGTTCAGAAATCATTCTAATATGTAGATTTGCTGCTCAAGAAGCATTTCTTATTAATATTAAGCATCTAAACTGTTTTCAACATTGATAAATTATGTTGAAAACAGGTGTGCTGCTTAATACTTTTGTGTAAACCGTGATACTTTTTTCAGGATTCTTTGATGAATAGAAAGTTCAAAAGAACAGCATTTATTTGATATGGACATTTTTTATACATTATGCAAGTTCTCACCTTTGCACAATTTAATGCATCATTGCAGAATAAAAGTATTAATTTCTTTAAAACAAAATAAAAAATAAATAAATCCTAACCCCAAACTCAATGAGAAAAAAAAAATCCCTATATATATATATATATATATAGTATTTATTTTTTTCAGAGCCTGTGCAATGGCCAATTCTGGGATCATCCCTAACATGTGATCTGTCTAAATTATAACCAATACAGTGTCTTTCAGTCATATGTGACTGTGAGGATGCAGAATGCCAGTAACTGGTTAACTTGTGGGCTTCTGTGTGACAGCACAGCTCTGCTCTCCAGCGCCACATCATTGAAGCTTCTCATCCTCACCACTATCCCCAGCTATCACTCCGCCCACCTGACCATGTGTGTGTGCTTGTGTGTGTGTTTTAACAGGTGCAGTACCGAGAGCTGAAAGTGGACCCCAGTCCCAGCCCAAACAAAAGAAAGAAAAATAACCTCGGATAGCACGTCTCCTCGATCGGATGCTCTCCCAACGCCAAGGAAAATGAGAGGACTGACCGGCAACCAGCCTCTTTCTGTCTTTCTTCCTCACTTTTTTTCTCTGTTTTAGCTGCGGCGTGGAGACTTAAAGAGCGCGGTCAGAGTGAAAACTGGACCATTGTTAATTACCATCCGTCCTTTTTTGAGTTTATTTTTTGTGGCGAGAAGAGCGGCAAAAGCTCTTGACCCCTTTTAGAGTCAAACAGTCTGGGTTATTTGTCAGCTCTTGCCACTGGCCAGACAGCTCTAAAAGCCAAGGTGTCCTTTCACGGCAGCAAAGGGAGCCGTTCTAACCACAAATAGCAGGATCAGCTGATAATACGCCCACCTGTGCCGACACACCTCGCCTCTACAGAAGGGAAAACGACGGTGGTTAAGTTGCAGTTTGCACCCTACAATTTGCACGCCGCAGTAACTGCCATATCTAAAGCTATCCTCAGCTGTCGAGCAGCAGTTATCAGAGTCGACAGCTGAGCCTGTTATGGTCCGATTTATGGCTGTAACTAAAGTGCTCATGGAGACAACTTAAAAAAAAAGAAAAGCCATTCCAGTGAGGTTTGCGGTATCTACTTCCTTTTCATGTTCTTTTAACGGTATGAATGATGCATGCTGGGATTGTTTATTGTAAACCTCCTTTGACCAATAGTAGCCATGGCAGTGTCAGCGTTAGCCTTGTCCTCGTAGTGGGGATTGAGTGTACGCACCCTTGCATCATCCTTTGCTCCCAGAACGCAACGCAGTGCCACTACGCTAATAAAGATGTCAGTCTGGGCCAGAGAATGGTGACCGAGTGGAGAGAGAGAGAGGCACGTTCGCATTTGAAAGCAACTTCCTCTGTCAACTCTGCCACCGCGCCTGCAGCCATCAGCCACCCCGTCCCGTCCGCCCGACCTCCTGCGGCCACTCAAACTTTGATCTTCAACTCTCAAGGCTGAGCGTGCACGCCTGTTTTACAGAGACAAAAAAAAATCCGAAATCTTTCGAAAAATCCTGAACTTGTAGGGCGAATGTCTGTGTGTTTTCATTGCTGTGGATTGGCTGCTTGACAAGAAGTCGATAGCGTGTGACAGGCTGCTTTAGGGCCTCGGGGGGGTACCGGAGGGCAGAGGTTTACTGACGCCGCTGTGGAGAAAGAGGACGACGCGGGCTGCTTTTTCGGTGCTCCTCCTGTCATTCCTCTCTGTCATTTCCTCTCCTTCATCCATCCGCTTGCGAGGGAGGTCACGGACGGGTCCGCGGGGTGCTCTTGAGGGACCTCGGCGTAGCGAGCGATGAAAAGATCACAGCACAGGCTACATCAGAAAGGACACTAGCCTCATCCCTCCGCCTCCCTCCTGACTTCTCATTTGCCATATCGCATCTATCATATGGAAACACCATTGATTTGTTGGAGGGAATTCCATTACAAAGACAACACAATCCCCACTGAGCAGGACACGCACGGCACTTCAGTGACTCGCGTTCTAAAAAAACAACACACAGATGATCTGAACAGCAGAAAGGATAGTTTTTTAAGCCTGAATGTGTTTCTGTGAACTGTACGTGTTGATCAATGGGTTTATTGTGAATGGATTTTGCATCCCAAAAGCTTTTTCTTTTGTAAAAGTGCACATGCTGTGTTTGCAAGCACACCAAAGTGGATCTTTTTTTGGAAATTATATATACAGTACTGTGCAAAAGTCTAAGGCACGTTAGTATTTTCACAAAAAAAAAAAAAAAATTTAATCTTTTGTTATAGTGTGTCAGTAGGAAATATCAGTTTAGATTTCCAAACATTCCTTTTTTCATTAATTGTAATAATCCAGTGAGATTTTTGTATGGAGGAGTCTGGCAACATCATCGAGTTTGTCTGTGATAACATGAAGAATCAGAAAAAACTGAGACAGACTAAATCCAGAAGAACTTAGCTTGAAGAAACCGACACAAGAAGCTTGAAGAAACCGACCTCCAAAGCTAAAGTTTTAGGCACTTGTGTAAAAATGCTCTAATGTAAGGATGCTTTTAAAAATAATGTCATAATAGAAGTTAATTGATAAATAAAATCTATTTAACTAAATCAAATCAATATTTGGTGTGAACACCCTTTGCGTTTAAAACGTTTTTTGTCCTAGGTACACTTGCACATAGTTTTTCAGGTAGCTTTGCAGGTCGGTTTCTTCAAGCATCTTAGAGACGTTACTGCAGTTCTTCTGGATTTAATCTGTCTCCGTTTGTTCAGTTTCTTCATGTAATCACAGCCAGACTCGATGATGGTGAGATCAGATCTCTGTGTGGATCATGCCAGCTGTTGTCAGACTCCTTGTGCACACAAAAATCTCACTGGATTATTACAATTAATGGAAAAGGAATGTTTGGAAATCTAAACTGATATTTCCTACTGACACACTACAGCAAAAGATGTAAATAACTGGCTTAAAACCTAATTTTTTAGTGTGTGTGAAAATACCAATATGCCTATATCTATATATATATATATAGCAAATAAAACATATATATATATAACTATATATAGAGAGAGAACTATGTAGAATGTAACGTATCAATTAATTGAAAAAAAGGATAAAGGCACTTTCATTTATACCAGATTTTTTAAATTATTTATTTGACATAAATCTTATTTTTTTTGTAAATATTCTTGTAAAAAAAAAAAAACTGAATATATGTGGTCAAATGTTTATGAAATCGTAATGTGTGTCTGTGTGGAGATTTAAAACCTGTTGCCTGTGATGTCATACTGCTCCCTGTGACTGGCTGAAACGGTTGGCAGAATTGACAAAATTGAAACTAAAATATGGACAATATTGAAAATGAAAAATTATAATGAACATATAATTTGTCTATTACTTTTAAAGACGTTTTGTTTCTTATATATGTATATTGCTTGCTTTCATCAATAAAAAAAATATTCTCTAAGCATGTAAACAAGGATGTGTACATTGCTATTTTAGTATACTATTACAGTATTTATTCATATTTTGAATTAGCTTTTTTTAATGTCTAAATGTATCATTTCTTTTTTTTAGTAGTTTTTAAAAAATATATATAATTAGCTTTAATTTTAATTCAGTTTTAGTCATTTTTTAAGCTTAGCTTTTCATCTAAAATGTACATTTTAGCTTTTCAATTAACGGAAAAAAAAAAAAGTTTTTTGTTTTTTTACGACACTGGATGTGTGATTTGCATCTGAATTAATATAAAGTACTTTGAAAAGTGATTGTGTTTGCATACCGAAGGCACAAGGCCTCCTCTCTAGATCAGCTCTTAGTTGTGGGTCTTTTATATACAAACACACTGGTATGTACAAGCTTTTTCATCTTTCAAACACAAGAGTCATTCATTTCTTACACCTTCGCCAGTGCTGCTATATTTCAAGGCTTTCACCGTAAGCCAAGTTTCCCTTCCGAACACCTCATGATGTAAGCACTCTTCACACACTCTCAGAGTGATGGAAGAACAGTGTGTTCCTCCACAGGGGCCAAAGGGGCTCCCCTGTGCTCTCAGCCTCTGTGGCCCCTGATCATTTGTTAGTCTGGACGTTTCTTCCCTGTCTGATCCCTGCTGTTATTCAATATGACACCGTAGCATCACACGGCGTGATCCAGTACAAACGGCCGCGCTGCCAGACGCTAATAATAATGGCCATGCTGAAAGCAAGAACACTTGAGCTTGTTATTTATTAACCTCGGCATCCTCCATCGCTCTTGGGCTGTCAGACTCAGACCATCCGCAGAGTCTTGGTTTCTAATCCCAAACCCGGCCGCCGTGATCCCTGGTCACCTCCGGAGACTCGCTTGGATTGTAGTTGAAAAGGCTCATTCCTCATGGAGGTCTTTGGTAGATTTCTTGCTTTTGTACTAGAATCAGTTGTTTGGAAGGGATTGATGATTAACCCCACATGGTACACACATGTGTTCCCTCCATCATCCTGGATCAAAGAACTGGGAGATGTCATCTTGTAGGCTGGGCTTCAACTAAAGTTAAGTTTGTTCATTTGGAACAGTGGCAATGAGGTGTATTGCTGAGTTGTCTTATGAACTGTAATATATATATGCTAAAGTGAAAAGCTATTTCTCATGAATTTCTATTCAAGTTTTTTTAATTTATTATTTTTTTATTTTTTTATAGTAAAGTAAATGAGATGGACCAGATAGAGGGGGAGAAAAAAAAAACACCCAAATGTCAAGCATTCATGTGAACTTCAAATCGATTTTAACTCTTTCCCCGCCATTGACGGAAATTTACGGCTTTCCATGTTTTTAGATATAAGGTAGCGGGTGCTATGACACATCTTCTGAAAGACTACAGAATCTACTGATCAAAACACATGCAAAAAAGAAACAAGCGATAGCATATGTAAAATAACGTGATCATCAACATTAAACATCATATAAATCTGCCTAATGTTAAACTGAATGAAATGTCGACCCAGGATGAGCTATAGGACTGTGCAGGCATTAGGGGTGTTGATGGATTCGATGTACTCCATCTATGTTTTGATCATCTTTCTAAATCCGATCTGGATGTCTTTAATAATGCAATTTTCTCAGCTTTTTGTTTTTGTTTTACGAAACTCACCCACATTCAAGTGTTGATAAAAAAAGAATGCATTAAGCTAGAATAAAACAGTTTTTTTTTATAAAGCAGAGGCTCTGTTCTATCTTTTGATATATTGCCTATTCAGATATTCATGCAACAAAATATTCTGGGGACCATGAACATTTTGTGAAAATTATCAAAAATGTTGGAAGTGCCTGGCAACGTTTTTGGCAGGGAAAGAGTTAAAAGCATCCCAGGATGCATCTTATGAAGTTAGTTGATAGAATGTCTAAAGTGTGTTGAACTGCAATCGAGATGTTAAATCAGAACTGGCAATACTAATATTTGTATGTGTTTGCCCACGACACTTCTTGTATGTCAATTTTGTGCTATTTTATAGTTTTAAAGACTAAAATGTGGAGTATGGTTCTAATAAAGAGTGCATAGCTATGGCCACAATTTTGACCGGTTGTAAAAGTTACTATATTTTAATAATTTGCAAGTTTCAAATCATGTTTATTTTCATTTAAACTTTTATTTTGCAGTTAAAAAAATGTTCTAGTGTTTCACAAAAATATTTTTGTACAAAAATTAAATAATTCCCAGTTTTGCATATATTAACCAAACAACAAAGACAAAACAGTGCACAATGTTATAAATAAGAATTAATATTAATTGAGAACTCATACTGCAATCACTGTCATACCAGAGTTCTCAATTAATATTCATTATTTGTATCCATTCAAAACTTAATAGCACAAACGTCAGGAAATACATTTCACTATTCGTTTTAACCAGTACAACCAGATACACCCATTTCTTCTTGTTTCTCCATAGGGAATCTTTTAGAATGAGTCAAAATCAGATTGTCCAGTGATCAGTGCCGCCCCCTCCGCCTGCAGGTCTACAAGCAGCTGCACAAACAAGCTGGTTTGATCCCCATGACAGTGACTCAGTGCGGGGCTCACCTGTGACACATACTGCTCCAAATTCAACACAGTCCTC